AGCAAAATTGTGCTTTTTATACTACTTATTTTCAGAACTACTAGTAGTCTCAAAAACGTATTAATAAACCGGAAATAAATGATGTAGTCAAATGACTTAGTAAATGCAGCAATGCTTCGTAGAAAATCCAATCGCACACGCGATATGGGAAAGACCTCGGATTCCTTGAAATTCACATCTGCCCTGTTACCCAAGGGTATTGCGTATTGCTAACTGTATCAAGGCTATACACTACATTACCTAGGTTTGAGTCCCGCTGTGAGTGCTGATGAGATCTGGATGAACTCGAAATTTTATATCACTTCAGCCTGGATGAGGATAACTTTTGATAAGCAAAGCTAAGTAAAGTTGAATGGAGACATGAGGCCTACTCATATGCTTGTGGGAATATTTAATTCCCCGTCCTTAAAAGGAACAGAGTGAATACATCTTTTATATATAATCTATTAGTAGTCTCGAAAACCTACTTATAAACTGAAATTTTTTTATGCTTCGTTTCCAACATATTCCATTTCATTACGATTAGTTTCTGCGACCTCGCTGTGAAGTCAGGCATGGACGTTTTCCGCGTCTTTGATTGCCTCAACTATATCCCCAATCTCTTGGTTGGTCTTGAGGCCGCGGGTACGGCAGGAGGTGTTGTCGAAGCGGCCGTATGCTATTCGGGTGACATCAGTGACCCCTCTCGCACAAAGTACACTCTGCCCTACTACCTCGACGTCGTGGACCAGCTGGTAAAGGCTGGTACTCATATTTTAGGCATCAAAGACATGGCTGGTGAGCATTTATATGCTTCTGTGTTTTATGTCATTTCCTTTGCTTGGTTAGCCGTTCTGTTGATATATCGCTCTTCCACTTATTTCCCTGGTTTATCTGTATCTTTGTGTCGAATTGTGGCCTTCGTGTAGTAATTATTTTAAAAAATTTCTTTTTGTACTTAATATTATCAACCGGTAAATTGAAGTCACTTAGGTTGAATTTTTTTAAGACATTGTATATTGCTTTTTCCAGCATTCATTAAAGAAGAATATCTAGAATGTGTTTTACACGATTGAAATTCAAATTTAGTATATACGGAGAATATCTGGGTTTCGATGACTCTCTTGGTATAAGATTGATGTGAATACTTTTATCTTGCATTTACCCTGCAGAATGTAGATTCTCGTGGGTCCTTCTCGTCGTATGACAAATACTTATTTCATTTGTTCGGCATCCGCTTGTCTTTTAGGAAGACCCAGTCTACGAGACATCCTCTCTCGTTGCAAGTGAAAACAAGCTGAGCTTTCTTCAATCATATAATGGACATCATCTGAGCTAGAACTTATTTTTGTAAAGGTCTCAAGTTTTCTCTTGTTTATTAAATCATAAATAGGAAGACCAAAATGTTATGGTCTTCTGTTTGGTATCAGACTCCTTTAGCTGTATAGGGTTGGTTTGGCCTCGAGATCTCAATTTCGCTCCGACCAAGTTTAGAAAACAAGGTCAAAGCAACACTGACTAAATTAACATTTCTTGACTTAATGGAAACTTGAGATTTTTGCAAGAATGAGCCCTAGCTTTGATAATGTTCGTCATATACCAAACGAAAGCTCAGCCCGTATTCGTCTTGTGGACTGCGTCAACCTGAAGGTGGTATTAAAGTCAGGCGGCTGCAGAACAACGGGAATCAGCCGTCGTCTTCTGATGAGATCAACCTTCAAATCTCTTCTTCATGCACTTTCATACAAAATTAAATTCTCTCCAATAATCGAATTTATTACCCAAAAGACCATTCATGTCGTCAGTTGGTTCTTTAAGATAATCGACTGATAGTTAATTTTCTCATCGTTGAGGCTTCTATATTAAATGCAGGACGCAATCTATGCATCCTGAACATCTTTAACTCAAGGTGTCAAATTGTCTTTCTTCTTTCTGGCCCGGTGGACCGAAAAAGCTTATGGTATGGTAGTGACCTGTTTTTCTCTGGCTGGTCAAAGATCAAAGCCTATTAGACCCTGGCGAAGTAGAATCTTCATTCCATGCTTTTTGGAACCTTTAAGTACGAATGCATTAG